TATTATATTAATTGTTAATTAATCTATAATAATTATTTTTTTATGTGAGATATGTATTATAAGTTTTTTATAATAATAATATATAAGATGATATATGCAGGCCAAAAATAATTTTATCAAAATTACCTTAATATTGTTTGATTCTTGCGTGATTAAAGCTTCCAGATTAAGGAATCCTAACGGCTTTATGTGGGACTTAACTGTGAGGGGATTCATTGCTCTTTTGCATCTAGGTTTTGTGATAGGCGGCTAGGGTTTTGACTTTCTTTTGCTATAAATCTCTAAAACTTGCTCTTGCCTCCACTTCTTTTTATTTTCTACGAGGTAATACAGTTTTTTAGTCTTTGAGCTCCTAAATTGATCTGATTAAAACCCGAACAAATTCCAAACCTCCCAGCCACCTGTTTGATTCAATCCCAGTTTGATTCCGTACATAATATCGGTTCCTGTTAATCTTGAAATTCTTTTGATTTAATCCCTCAGAATTAGGCGTTAGCCCATACTTTGTCTGTGATTAAGTAGTCCTTTTGCTCATTCATTCCTTCAAAACATATACCATTTTCTTGAAGCAGCCATAGTTTATCGAATCCACTCAGCATTACAGGCTCTTCTACCATGGGATCCATTATCGGAGGGATCGTCGAATTCAGTACATTCTATCATCATTTATTTGATTGGATTGGATCAATTTCACCTGTGAGAATTTTGCAATGAGTTTTCCTGATCATCACTCTGGCTCATGCTATCGCCGCTACCATTTGCGGCGGACGAAGATTCCAATGGAAGGTGGCCGCAATTCCCAATCAACAACGAACTATTCGATTCACGTTCAACATTTGATCATCTTCCTCCGTTTCAAGCGGCCCAGAACATCCGAAAGCAGTCACTTCGATCACTCGCCATTCCCCCCGCCAGGATGCACCACCTTCAAAATCCTCCGACAAACAGAGGAGGAACGAGCCACATTTTTTACAAGACTCGCCCTTGTGCTAAATTCAAAATGGGCACCTGTAGGAACGGCGAGAATTGCAATTTTGCTCATGGCGAAGAGGACATGAGGCAGCCACCACCAAATTGGCAGGCACTTGTTGGTTTGCGCGATGAAGAACGGCCGTCTGGAAACTGGGACGATGACCAAAAAATCATACATAAGATGAAGCTGTGCAAGAAGTATTACAATGGTGAGGAATGTCCTTATGGTGAAAGGTGCAATTTTCTTCATGAAGACCCGTCCAAGTTCAGGGATGATGCAGGGAGGAGCAGGGAGAGCTCAGCTATAAGCCTTGTGGCTAATGGATCTCCAAGTCGCACTTGAATGGCCCTAATAATTCAGACAATAATAAGACTGTCAACTCTGGTTGTGATGGTTTTAGAACAAATGGGAAGGCTCCTTTCTGGAAGACCAAGTTATGTAGCAAGTGGGAGACAACAGGACAGTGCCCTTTCGGCGATAAATGTCATTTTGCTCATGGACAAGCAGGTTTGTGCTTCAGATATGATGCAGAGGCACTTTAAATCACACATACACTTCCATTTTCATGTTTGTTTGATTATGTCCTAGCCTTGCGGTCATGCTTAGGGGTACTGACATTGTAACCCCAAAAAAAAAAAAAATCTGCTCATGTTTATGCCCATGTATCATTTCCTTTTGAGTAAAATTGTTGACATCCTAACCTTTAGAAAGGAATCTTTGTCGCGTTAGACTGTTACTGATATTTTGAATTACATTTGACATTCTGAATCCAAATTTATGATGTTATACCTCAACCTTTTCGATTAATGACATTAATGTCTTAATCTTTAAAAAGATAGTGTCTTTCGTTTTAAATTTTTAGTGATGTTTTAAATTACATATGATTGCACGTTGATTAAATTATAGGTGAATCTTTTAAATTTTTTCATGGATCCATGTTACATTTTAAAATGTCTTTCATTCTAGTGGTTTGAGAGTGTAAATTACACTTGAATCTTAAATACTTATTACCTTACGCTAAAAGCTTTTGTGTTCATGTTCGAGTCTATAACTTTTTAGCAAATGCATTAACAGATGTTATTCTTATCACAATTATAACATTGCTAGATTATACTTTTGAGGTCGTACGTTCACCGGACCAATGGGCAAGATAATTATGTTTATAATTGTTGGAATTCTCTTATTAGCATGGGTGGATTGCATTTGTGTTTGGCCTTTGGCGTTTGCTGATAGAAGAGATGCATCTAATGGACTTTATTTGTTAAAATCTGTATCTCCATTTAGACATGAATTGCTTCCATGATTATCACATGATTAGGACATCAAGTATCACTCTTGATAATCAGATATTAGATGTCTTCAAATCTCATCTGAGTTTTGAAATTTGAAGTAAAAACCTTTTAACTAAAATTGATTTAGTTATCTATTGACTTCTGATGCTCTATGCTATCAAATTAGAGTTACAAGCGCCTTGTGGACGCGGTGAAGCAGAAGCTATAGGAGCACAATCAATTCCAATAAATGATATAACTCCTATAAACACTGCAAGTATACTTGATTCAAAAGAAGAGGAGCAGAACAAGAAGAATTTGCTGAAGTGGAAAATAAATAAGAAGGTCAATCGAATTTATGGTGATTGGCTCGATGATTTTCCATTTCCAAGGTAGGTAGTGGGATAGCTAGAGTTTGAATCTTGGAAAGTTTGCTTTCCGTGAAATTTTGATAATATGGGGTCACTTATGCTTGGTGATCACTTCATTGGTTTATTTATTTTCTTCTTTTTTTATGGGTTTCGATAGTTAATTTTTTGTTCAAAAGGGTCCATTGTATTTCTAATGGGTTGAGATGATTCTCCAAGTTTTAAGGGCATGCTCTGAACAAATCATGTATTCAATTTCTATTTTATATATGAAAATATGATTATTCAAATGGCATAGCCTTTAAATCTAGCTCTTTTATTGAAGATTCTAGTAGCATGTTTTCATACGTCGACATCTTTCTCTTCCTTGATACATGGGGGTCTGGGATTAATCCCTAAGTGGTTCAAGAAAAAATATTCTATGAAAATTAATCTTCAAATTGTGAAAATATAATGCCTTCAATTTACAGGCGAAAAAGCAAACAAATTGCATTCTCAATATTCTTATTAAAATATGTGAAAAAATATTTAAGAAATAAAAAATCTATTTTTTTTTCTAAAATTGCAAATCATTGATGAATTTCTCATTTGCCAACAATTCATAGATGACTTATGACTTGTAAATAAAGATGATTGATATATGAATATGGAGTAATTGAATAGTTGTGTAGTGCAAAAATTGGTCTTCAATATGATAAAAAAAAATTAAAAGTATTTAATTTTTTTAATTTTACCTCTTATTTATTTATTATGATTTAAATTTTTAGATAATGATTTATTATATTTATTAACTCAAAAGTTACATATTTTTGAATAAATTTAAAAACACAACTATATTTTTTAATAAGTACAAAGATTAAATTTATTTTATATTAAAGACCAATTTGACATGAGTACACCTATTTATTTTTTGGTGTAAAAGAATGGAAAGAGACTGTATAACAAACAGATAACAAAGAGATTTTTTGATTCCTATCCCAAGGTGAATCAGGACCCTTTGCCCCTATCTGGTACATGTTATTAGGGGGTTGGGATTGAGATTGAGATTGAAACAAAATTTAGGTAATATCATTTTTGACATATTTGGCATGAAACATTCAACAATTCTTAGGTTTGTTTAGTCTCATTTAAGTGAAAATATTCAAACACACCACTCCTTGATATTGTAAAATTATTATGGGATTAAAATTTTCTTAATTGAAATGCCTTTGTAAAAATATCTAAATTTTCTCCTCTCTCAAAAAATTTTAGTACTTCACCTTCTTTTTTTGCCATTGATAACTTCTAGCACTCCACCTTCTTTTTTTGTCATCAACGACCTTTGGCCATTCACCTTGCTTCTCCTCCGTTGGCAACAATTCCTTTATTGATCACCATCGCAACATGAAGCGCTCTTTTCCATTTCTTTTGTTGATCTCATCTCACATGCGCATCTCTATCAATCCACCTCTATCAATCAATCTCCATCATCACATAACATTGCAAGGCTTCATCTTTGGAGCAAAAAGTGATTGCAGCAAGCAAGCAGAGAGCGAGAGTGAGCAAGGAAAAGGGAGGGATGGGTTTAATTGCCCGCAACAGAAAATATGATTTTTTAGGGTTACAAATTTTTTTTAATTATATAAGGTATTGTGATATTTTCATAATTTATATTTAATTATAACATAAAATAAAAAAAGTATTTTTTATAATTAATATTTCATATTAAATATAATTTTAAAACTTTATTTTTCAATTCCAATCTCAATTTTAATATCAATGCGAATCTCAACCCTTCCAAACTTGAGCACGTGTATAAAAAAGGGCCTTATTATCGGTAACAAAGTCAGCATCGTCACTCTTGACACGGCATAATTCGAAGGGGAGTAACCACGGGCACTTCCCGTTACCTTCCATTCTTCTTCCTTCAACACATACCTCTGCTCAATGCAAGAAAATGATAGAGGTTCTCCCCTTTCCTTCATCCTCTGCCATCTCCTCCATAATTCCCGCTTCACTCCACATCTTCACTCTATCCAGAGCTTTCTCACCGTACAAGGCTTCCCTCACCACCATGTCCATAAACTTGCACCCTCCTGCCTACGCTGACAATACGCCATTATCCAGACCCCCCAAAGCTAGTGACCCCTTTTCACCCACCGGAGCTCTTGAATACCTGAAATTTCAACTTTCTGCGCCCACTCAACCTTCACCCACCCCACGTTTAAAGGTTTTGCCTTTCAGAAACGGGAGGCCCTTAGCCTCTTCTTCGACGGCTCACTCCAGAGATTCCCAGCAAATTTGGCATCTGGGTTGGATCAATTTGGGTGATCTCAAGGGGCTTTTGGAAATTTCTAGTGGACGATTGAGCGGAGACTCTTTGGTGTACGTAGGCTCGTGTTCAGAAGACGACGTCGTTTACTGGGCAGTTGACGTTTCTTCTGAGAGTGGCTTGTTGGCTGTATTAGGAAGCAAGAACTTATGTTTCGTGGACCTGAGATCGCTCATGGTTGCCTCCGATTGGTCGGACTTGCAAGCGATGGGTAACTTGGCTATTGCTGGTCGTGTAAGTTATGCTCTTTCGCTCCTTCTTCGTATAATTTGTTTTTGTCGTTTCATCTTAACCATAAGAGCCAACCTTAGCCTTTGCAGTAATTTATGTGAGTTTTCCTTCAGCTATTTCAAAAGTATTACCTTGTGTTTTATGATTGTACCGGGTTAGAACTGTCTTCTAAATTGGAATTCTGAAATTAGCTAAGCTGCTTCTTTTGGCTAAACAAGCTAAGGAACCTGTTCACATTAATATTCGCCCTCTTTTGTTTTACTATTCCATTTATGTTTTAGCTTGACTTCAGTAAAGCAGAGATGATTTTAATCTTTCTTACTAGTCCAAACACTATTAGAAGCTGCACTCGCTTGTGGATTTCTCTTATTCGTTGGCAATGCACATTAAACATGCAAAAAAGTGGCTTGCAAGTAGATAGCTTTGCCATTTTATCGATTTTTAGTCTATGATACATGTATGATCAGTGTCTCTCTAATTGCTGGGTTTGGCCAGGCCAGGGCGCTGCTAGAATGGCATAATATATCACAATTTTGTGGACATTGTGGAGAGAAAACAGTCACTATAGAAGCTGGGAGGCGGAAGCAATGTTCAAAGGAATCGTGCCGACAGAGGATATATCCACGAGTTGACCCGGTTTGCTATTGTTCTTAGTGGTGATTAATCAATAGAGGTGAGTGTTTTGCTGATTTCCCTGATTATGTGATTTTATGCAGGTGGTCATTATGTTAGTCATTGATCGAGAGAATGACAGCATCCTTTTGGGTCGAAAATCAAGCTTTGTCCCTAGAATGTGGAGCTGCTTAGCAGGTTTCATAGAGGTAGATGTCTTCGTCAACTTTAAGACTATTCATTTTGTTGGGACTCAAACGCTGCTATTGTACCTTCAAACAATACGGCTTATTCCCATCATTAAATCTGAACTGATTAAATATGAGGGAAAATCATTTAAGTACAACAATAGCAAATGGGATAAAAGATGGTAGTAATTAAAAAAAAAAAAAAAGACAGTCTCCTGTCTGGGATTTTAGAAAAACTCTGTTCTGTGTCGTCTGAAATTTAGAGCTTCTTTTCATTCTTGTAATTGGTAAGCATTGTGGGTGCAGACGGACAAAAAAAGTTACTAGGATTTGAACTGTCGAAAGTTTCACTTTCTCCTAACAAGGGAAAAGTGATGCCACTCAAAACAGGTTTCATTGGCTTGAGGATCAATTGTATGCATGGAAATTAGTCGTTTCAGAACTAATTTATTTTTCAACATTCTGTAAGCTTATATGCTCATGCTGCATTCAGCCAGGGGAAAGTTTGGAGGAGGCTGTGAGAAGAGAAACATGGGAAGAGACAGGTGTTGAAGTGGGAGATGTTGTGTATCACAGTTCTCAGCCGTGGCCTGGTATAACTTATGATGCACGTCTTAAAGTTAATGTAACTGCAAACTGTGATGTTTCTGTCAAGACGAAGGGCAGAGAAGGGAGATATTCATTCTTCTTCCATCTTTACTATGACATGCGGGAACATTGGGAACCGTTGGAAACCCCCAGCTGGTTGGATAATCTTCATAATTCATACTCGTAACCTACCTAAATGATTGATTTCTTGAAAATGCTTGAGACTCTGAATCTGAAAGTAGTAACTTTTCCCCTTAGCATGTTAAGAATTAGAAGCTGTTAGGCACAAATTAACATGAACTGGTATAATGGATGACTAGACATGATCTTGTTTGTATATTTCTTACGAGAATTTTAATTACATGCTTCTCCCTACTTCTGTCAATTGATAATGTTTTCTCCATTGGCTTTGTTCCTAGTTGGACCAAGTAGCATGTCATGCCAGCTGATGGTTGGGTTCTTTGCATATGCAAAATCGCTTGACATAAATGTGGACAACAAGGAGTTAGAAGGTACCTTGACTGCATTTAGCTTTACATTATTAGGTTCTTCAATGAACCCTAAAGAAAATAAAAAATCTTACCAAGTTTTGTTCCTTCTTTGCTTTGCTTTTGTTTACTTGATCTGCAAATTGCATGGGTAGATGCTCAGTGGTACAGTAGAGAAGCTGTTAGAGAAGCATTGACAGTAGCAGAGTACAAGAAAGCCCAAAGAACTGCAGCATCAAAGGTAGAACAAATGTGTAAGGGAGTGGAGAAAAGTCACAGCCTGACTGCAGATTTTAACGTGGAAAGTGGTGAACTTGCTTCCATGTTTGTCCCTGGACCCCATGCAATAGCCCATCATCTGATTTCCTCTTGGGCCTTCCAAGATTTACCTACTGGTATTCCTTGCCGTTGACACCAACCTGCTGGTTCTTCTGTCTCCAAGTTTGTGGAATTGTCTGAAATTCGTTTGTGTTATATTTCTCTCCTACTTGTTGTACAGATTTTGCACCTCTTGACTGGGAGAGATCTAGTCATATTTTGCAGTCTGCTTTACTATTTCCTCACATAGAGATTATTCTATAGTGGACACGTTCTTACTTTGGTTTCTTGTCTTAGTTTCAATTTCAATGTAAATATCTTTCTTGGCTTAACTAAAATCAAAATAATAATTAGTTATAGAACAAATAATTAAGTCATGAACAATATGACCTTGCTACAAAGTTTCTATCATGGACAAAATGTAACTAAATTTACATAAACATTTACATGTTATGTTATTATTGAAAATTATAAAAAAAGGCATGAACACTATCCAACCAATATATTGCATGAAAAATGATTCCATCCGATTTTATATATAAAGTG